TCTCGCGTATCTGTCAGCAACCTTGCCTGCTTGCTTTTCTCTGTCAAAGTTACTAGGAACTGTGCTACCGAAAGGTGCATGACTCAGGCTCCATTCTATAAAAATCGACGAGTTACGAGCCTATGAAAACACGTCCTCATGAATTTTGCCCAAAATGTAAAGACCGCAAATCTCGACGAAATTCCACAGTGGGCGCTTGTACAACACGCTGATCAAAATCTTTTTACGTCCTTAATGAATCTTTTTGTGTTAGATTTCGTAGTTTGAGTTCTAGCCACCGAAATAGCTTTGATATTCAACTGAGCAGCTGAAGCATACGCAAGTACATAGTCAATACAGTGGGAGTCTTTGGGCGAAGCGAACACAATATCCGCAATGCGAGTGTCATACAAACACTCACGGTGGAATTTCGACGAAATATGCGATCTTTACATTTTGGGCAAAATTCATGAGGACGTGTTTTCATAGGCTCGTAACTCGGCGATTTTTATAGACTGGAGCCTGAGTCATGCACCATTCGGTAGCACAGTTCCTAGTAACTTTGACAGAGAAAAGCAAGCAGGCAAGGTTGCTGACAGATACGCGAGAAGTGCGGGCAAATTTACGCACTTTCGTGATGCAGTTACAGTCACCTCACCGTATCTCACCAAAAAGACCCTGTATTCCCCAAAGACCACGACCTAAAGAGCGTGTTCGAAAACCTCTATAAGCAAGGTTTCCTTGCAATTTAAGAGCATGAACATTTTGACCAAAATCCATCGGCCAGCTTCAGAGCGTAAAACGAGAAAAAATGAAATTACTTGAACATCTTGGAAAACTTGCTCATAAGGGTTATCCGACCTGCTGATTACGAAAATCACATCTGCTCAGAAAGAGAGCTTCATATTTTAGAGTTACGTTGAGAGAAATTTAGAACATGATTTTTTCAGAATTCACCAGCCCTCCTAACTCCTTTGGAAAGAAGTGTGCGGCTAATTTCTAGCGCCCCATAATCTACAGAAGAAGTACTATCGAAAATTTCTTCCTGAATCGACTGGGGACAATACGCGCTGCTTCACACCTTTGCGAAGGGACGTGTTTTGAGAATACTGAAATCGAGATACCAAGGACATTCTGCATACAGAAAGATTTGCCTTGATGAGCTGAGCACAATGCATTTTTCGGATTCGGAAAATATCCACTCCAAAGAAAGTTACGGCGAGTAGAACCTGGGAACGAGTGATTTTTCCAGAATTTACCAACGCTTTTTTCTCTTTTGAAAAGAAGTCTGCGGCAGCTTTCTAGCGCACTATAATGTACAAGAAGAGCACTATCGAATGGTGCTTATTGGAAGTTTTCATGTTGGATAGGCGCTGCGTTACATACTTGCAAAGGGACCTCCTCAGAACAATTTGAGAAAACTGGAAACGAGATATAGATGACATTAAAGGCAGCGTCCAGTCAAGTCTGGACCTATGGGGATTTTACGTGGAAAGTACTTTTGGAAACCTAACTAAGCCACTGCCCAACCGGCAGCTCAGGTAGTGCCCTAACGCCTGAGATATTCCCCTCGAAACTGGACCCCGGGACCGTGTTTCGCATGGATTCATGGCGCAAAGCGTGGATCCTGGCGCGAAACTGCCATGAATCCATGCGAATACGTTCGCGGGGGCCAGTTTCGAGGGGATATCTCAGCCATTAGAGCACTACCTGAGCTGCCGTTTGGGCAATGCCTTGGTCAGGGCTCCAAAAGTACTTTCCACGTAAAAGCCCCATAGGTCCAGATCTGCCTGGACGCTGCCTTTAAGCATGTTGAAAGATTCGCCTTGACGAGCTGAACACAATGCTGCTTTCGGATTTAGAATATATTCATTCCGAAGGAAGTTATGGTGCTGCATAATTTGCGATATTCCGGAATCGCGAAATTTCTGGAATTTCGCGAAATTCCTGTTCTGTGAGTGGTATTGTACATTGCACAGCACGCGCGACATTCTGCGATATGTGCTTCTCAAGCGATTTCCAACCATTTCCCTTTGTCTTCCTGCATTTTGGGACCCGTCATACTTCGCCAAGAAAAGGCCAGTATTACACATATCCATGCAGCATGAGCTCTTAAACTATACCTGTCCTATTTATGCAGTGCTCAACAGAATGTGCAGGTAGCCTCTGGAATCAGCACACTGAATGATCCATTTACACTAAAATTCCAAGGAAAAAAAAACCTATATAACACAACTAGGCACATCTGTATACTGGAAGACGCGCCTCGCCGAGCTGAGTTGAATGGTACTCTTATATATAGAATTCATAAATTTTGGATCAAGATAAGGTCTTTTTTATAAAGAAGTTAGGCGTTGCGCGGCAAAGTTAGGCGGAAAATGCCGCTTTTCCGCCGACTTTTGTCGCGCGACGCGGCGTTTGTCCCCTAACTGCGGCCGCGCCGCTTAAGTTAAGTGCCGCCGCCATTTTTTTCACAAATTACGGGTGGTATTGTACACAGTAAACAAAAAAATACCAGGTACCAACAGAAAAGAAAGAGAAAGAGTTTGAACAAAAGCAGGCAGAAAAATCTTTTTTTTATTATGGAAGAAGAAGGTATTTCAGGGAAGGTTGTTGAGGTAAGGTTCGCTTCAAAACATGTCGAAAATTTTTCATATTTTGAAGGTTTCACTTTGCTTACAGTCGGCTGTTTCTGTTCAAACCTCTTTGAAAAACGTAAAATCAAGACTAAAAACTTCAGGACCTTTTCTTTTTTGCCATGATCTATAACAGTGCAAGGTAGGTATATTGTTATTAAGATAAAAGTTTGTGGATGTCAATCACTGCAGTGCTTTATTGAATCTCCCTAACACTACATTTATCCGCCCTATCGGTGCTTTCGAAGCAGATTGAATGTAAAGCCATTTACTGCACTTTGGTGCATCCACAACGCTACTAAGGGCAGTGCTAATCCAGAAAAAGCTAAACAAACAAGTGTTACATCGGATTTTCAAAGTATTGTAAGCACAGAGAGTGTTACCGATGTTTTTCATGTTTCGAGCGAGAACAAAAATCATGTGATTTGCGAGTGAAGTACTTTAATCACAAAGTTGGCGTATATGATCATGAAGTATTGAAATACGTCAAGCACTCCACTCGCTTATTCTATAAGGAAATGTTAGGGAAACCCAAGAATACCATACTTATCGTATGCACCAAATTACGGTAGCGGAGGCTAGAGGATACGAGTGCGACCAAGCTGCACATGTTGGACATGTTCAACATGTAGAACAGCTCCATATTGTCGCTATTTATATTTGTCAACTTGGCTTATCTATTCATTCCTCTCGTTCCTCTCTCTTCTCACGCTCCCTTCCTCTCTTCAATTTATCTTTTCAATTTGCACATTTTTTACAAACTTATGTGTACAGCTTATATGTGTACCTAAGTTGATTTAAGCCAAAGAAGACGGTCATACGTCTTTTAGAATCTGATATTTTAACCTCTTCCAGTGCACTGATCCTTACTCCACAAACAATAAGATGTCAATGAAAAGAGGGAGTATGTATGTGACCCGTAAAGAGCATGTCGGAAAAACCCCTCATCCCTTGTTAGGCTGGAATCCAGCCAAATCTATGATTTCGACCCCCTACTGTATACCTCCAACCCCGAAATGGCCATATCATGCGAATGAAAACCCTATATGCAAACGCTATTCGCCCTAGGACAAGTAGACCCAGTCACGGTCCCAGGATTTTCGTTCGGGGGGGGGGGGGGGAGGAGGGTTCGGATGAAGGTGGGTGGTGTCAGCTACGCACTCCGAAAAATTTTTTCTGGGTGCTTCTCAAATTTTTTGCGGACCTATGAAGCCGAAAATGTAGTAATAGGGGAACGTGGCTGCAGCCAAACCCCGAAAAAATTTTTTTTACAAAGTAAATTGATTTGAGAAAATTTTCGAAATTATTTTGATCATTCAGAACTACAGGGAAGTCATCTGCAAAATTTTTATAACTCATGTAGGCAACTTTCAAAAATTTCACGATCCATTCTCGGGGGTTCCGCGGTCCGCTACTGAGTAGGGCGGAATCCATGTCTTCTGAATAGCACCCATTTATTTACTGGACCCAGAGCTAAAGTTTCCAATTTTTTTTGAGTTTGTCGATTTTGGATGCTCAAGTTTCTGTGACAGTTCATATAAAATTTGATCTGGTGCTAGATCTAAGGCAAAATTTCAACGCTCTTCAAATTCAGGTGCAGAATGGCACATTTTCGTTAAAAATACGACGAGCGACTGGGAGGGGGGGACGAGGTAGGTACTTGTTGATTGTTTACGAATAGACGGGGTCATATGACATCTGCTTCCAGAGTTCTAGAATTTTCATCGTGCTGGTACTTTTGCTCGTGACTATGTTCCTGTTTCTACTGTTCTTGATACAAGCTAATTATAATGTTTGCCAAAAGTTGAGCACAAAAAATTCTGAAGGGTCTCAAAAATGGAACCTTTTTTCCTCACACTGAGGCGTCCATTTACTCTGTTTGCTGGTTATTTGAGCAAATATACCTTTTTGTACACAGTGTGACCCTACCCAGGTCACTCTTAATGGCCGACGACACCAGGTGAGTAAAGCGTTCTCGACGGGGTCGCAGCTGGTCGGGTAATTGCGGCGGGGAGCGACCTCAAAGAGTTGGACCATGTATCTGGCCAAGTTCATCCGCTGTCTCTGTTCTATGACGTCATTTTCAAACTTTCTGGTAAATTTTTTGAACTGCCAAGTAAGCTGTCAGGGCCTGACGCTTCTGGCTGACAGCGGGGGAAGGGGGGGGGGGCGAAAATTGTCCTTCCTGACGCCTAACTGCTGGCGATCAATAGCCACACGGGGCTGGGCGCGTCCTTCTACTATCGTTGTGTGTCGTCCCCCGTCAATTGTTCGGCCTCACCCCACACGGTCCCCTGATACACATCTAAACATTCCGCTTGACTTTTTGCTTTCGGAACGTTTACCCAATGTTTACTGCTTTTTTTCTAACCCAAAAACCTATCTTCAGGGTAATGGTAACGCGATACCCAGTATTTTCACTGTTTTTGTGCTCAGTGCAAGCGTTTTTGGCATGGAATCAAGATGCTGCTGGACCGAGAGGAGCTTTGCCGATGTTTGATGATGGTACATTAATCTTATGTAATTCTCTGGATTTCTTCCAAGTTCTTAATTTTTAGCAATTCCCCTACGTATCGGCTCTGATTTTGACTATTTGATGTTGACAAGAATTTATCCCACCGCTGTTTGCCGTGCCGACGATGACTCAGGTATGATTTTGCGGTTGTCCTTGGCGTAATTTGTGGTGGTCCGGTATGAGTCATGTATTTGTCCTTGAGATTTCTGTTCCTAAATACTGTAGCGGGAAACTAATAATATAATCTGCTTTTCCTGATTATTATGCTTTTCTTTTGTTTTAATTTTTAGTAGCGGAGGCATTCTTTGAGAAATCTTTTTCAGTTTGCAACCCTAAAGCATGCACCACCGGTTTTATATTTTTGCAGTGTATTCAAACAGAAAACAGTCACGAAATAGTACATGAGTTATTTTTCCATAAAATTTATGCTACTGAAAATAAAAGTTTTGAATTTAGGAAAGGAATAGAAGCCGTTGAGTAACACAAAGCAATGATTTCTTCAAAAATTTGCATAGTAGCAAACTCAAACTTATTATCCAATCTTTGATTTCGCCGGAAGAGATACGCAGAGTAAATTTTATTGTACGTTCTTTCTATTGGCCACTTTCTCCTTCCGTAGACATAAATCCCAGATACACAGCTTTTTGGGCATGCATGATAATATTTTTCGATTTCTATTCCTAGATCCTGAATTCTGAAGCTGCGATAAGCTAAATATTCTCTGAATATGCTAATTTTGTTATCCATAACTATAGTAAGCTATACTTCAATTAACAATACCCAATATTTTTTCTACCTTTTGGCTACTTGTAGCATCACTAGCTTCATAGAACTGCTGGGCTTTTGTGCAAACTTTCAAAGCGAAAAGCTCGGTGCAATATAATATCTCAATATTTTTCTGTAATCATATTTATAAAATTCGTGATGAGTAATCGAGTTTAAAATAGCGTAGAGAGTCCTACAGTAACCCCTGATGTTGCAATTTCAAACTTCTTGCGTCGTGATCCATTGGCGATAAGCTTTTCGCATGTGAATTTGCCCATAAACATTACTGATAAGTTCAGATATGAAAGGACATGTGCAAATCAGGTGAACAAGAATGTTCAAAGGGGTGATAAGTAGGGGTTTGAAAAGACGATAGCACAGAATTAAAGCGAAGGGCTTGATAAAAAAATGCTTAAAAATTGTCAAGACAAAAATCATATACAGGCATTCTATTGATAAGATAACCGACTCTTTTTGTAGTGAAATATTTTGAACCTCTTATCACGATGTCAATTTGAAACAGATCAGCCCCAATATGATTTAATGTTTTTTCTCTCACTCAAGAAAAAGGTTAAGGAAGACATATCTTGTCGGCAATCTCTTACCTCGGTTTTTTCTCTTCAAAAGTTAGATGTTTTTGAACCGAATCAAATAATCTCATCATCAGATTCTGTTTTCTGAACAAAGGCTGACTTTCAATGAAAATCAACACTCCAGGTTGTCACTTGCGCCATTCATCACCTTTTTTCATGTCCAGTTGTTCTCGTGGAACTTCTTTTCAAATACCATCACCTAGACATTTTTAACTTCCTTTTCCTTTTTCCTTCTCATATCCGTCAATATTGTTTACACTCATAGCCACCTTAAGAAATTTTGATTTTTCTTTCTCGAGGTACGATAAGCGTTTTTCGCTCCATTTCAGTCCCAAACATCTGTGAAATCCCAGCCGAAACTCCGGAATGGTCAATCCATGGACTCTGGCCAAATTACCAAAATGGTACTTATCCACAATTTTGCGATGGATTACCCAGAAAATTCGATGGAAAGTTGATCGAGCCTATTGAGTCGAACTTAACGTAAGTGGTATCACTTATATATTTTATATGATATTTGGTAATGAATTACCTCTTCTAGGAAATTCTGGCCAAATCTGTACCCATCAAAGACGGCACATTCATTCTGGAAGCATGAATGGGAAAAACATGGAACATGTGCTCAAAGTTTGAAGAACCTTTCCTCGGAATTTTTATATTTTTTCAAGTGGGTTCAGCCAGTTCAAATTGTTTTTTATTTTCCGTAATTGTTACTTCCAGAACAATGTACATAGATTCCCAATTTTCTGTGGGAGCTGCCCTGAGGAGAGCAGGAATTATTCCCAGGGAGGAACCTTACCATTTGGACGACATACAAGAAGCTTTAAGAAACGAGCTAAGCTACGGAAAAAATGTCCAAATCAATTGTCTCACAGATAAAAAGGTGAGCTAGATGGATAGTACATGGATATTTGATAAATAATATGAAAAAATGAAAATAATAATCATTCAGACAAGACAAACTCTTCTTGGGGATGTTCGCATGTGCATAGACAAGCAGTTTCGCCCTGTTGATTGCCCAATAGAGAAAAGCTTTCAACCTTTGACCTACATCCTTGGTCATCCACCACCATTGCCAAGTTTCAAGGTAAAATTCCAAAAATCTTACGCATATTGTATATTGCCTCGATTTATCAGTTTCCTTTTTAGAAATGCCCCTTATCAGTCGTTTACCTTTCTGATTCTACGGCGAGAGTTCTGAATGTGATCGGATTGGAGCATAGAGAGATAACATACTGGATCAATCCTCTCATTCCTATCTACAGCACTTTCTTCAGCCTTCAGGAGCCAAAACAAGAATTTTTGTGGGGGTAAGGTTTTTAAGATTTTGTTGGACTTTTGGAATTCTTCATAATTTTTCTTAAACGAATGCGCCAAAACATTACAAGAGCATTTGCTTGAAATTTTTGAATGAAATATCACTTTTTAGGTAATTTCTGATCTTTTTTAAATTAGAGTGTCAATTCTTTGAATTAGACTGTCAATTTTTGAAATGACAGTATCAGTTTTTGCAAATATAATATCACTTTTTGAAAATTACATCAAAATCTGTTGGGACTTGTTTCTGTATATCAATTCTTTGAGCCGATCACAAGTGTTCCAAGAGAAATTTTGATTCTTAAAATGGAATACAAGTTTTTCAATCATTTTGGCTTGGTTGAGTATTTTGAATAAGAACTTTGACTCGAGAATTAGAATATTGATTTATTAAAGATACATGGGGCACCTGTTTTTTTTGGGTAAACTATCAGTTTTCAACAGGAATACCAGTTCATGGCTAAGAATATTGATTTTTGGATATAATGATTTTTGGTAGTCATAATCATGTGGTTTGGACCAGAAAACCAATTTTTAGATTAAAATACCAGTGTTTAAACTAGAAGTGTCAATTTTTCAAATAGCAACTTCAAATTCAAGAACTCTTGTGACAAAAAGTGAGTGATAATTTATGTAAAGTCCAGAACGAGTGTCCGAATGACTGAATCCTATCTTGAGGATTTTTTCGACTGTTATGTCTTCGTGTAAGGGTGAGGATGTCGATTATGGTTTTTTTTCAGAGTAAGCATACCCTTCGTCGCCATTGTTCTTTTCGTCTACTACAAAGGTGGCCGAGATTTCTAGCCATGGACGAAAAGCATTGACGATGGTCTTGGACATATAGGAGTTCCGTAATGACATGACATTCAACGAAAAAACCTTTTTCTCAATTGATCTAACAGCTATAGTCTGTGTACGGGTATGTTAACATAATAACGGTTATTGTTCACTTTCTCAAGACCCTCTCCTGTCGAGCTTTGTAAATGTAGATAATGTTGTGAATTTGAACTTATAACTCTGCAGGTTGATTATAAATTGTAGACTAGCTTGTTTAATGAATATGATTTTCTGTTGCGTTATTCGCGCTTCACGTGTGATCATATGCTCGTTTTCTGAAGAACATACAAGCCTTGTAAAACTCAATTGCCCCCGTGCCTTGAACACCAGCATAGGCGAGCGGTTGTCGCGAGACACTATAGACGATTTGATTTGCTCATGAATTTCTCGGTCAATAGTCATCTGTTTTATCATCGCACATTATGTTTCAGCCGGAAGTGTCTTTGAAAGTTCATAAAAATACGTCTGAAGTGTGTGCGCGCTTATTACTGCCCGTAAATAGCATATATCGCGTCGGGACCTCGCGTCTCCAACCGTCTCGCGCGTTGGCGTTCAGAGTGAGGCGCGGACAACTGGATTTGACAAGGCCTAATATATACACCGAACCAGGTTCGGACAAAAGTCGGTCTTAGCCTTTCTCAAAAGCGAAGTCCGTTGACTTCCCATATTTTTACATAGTCCCGCTTGATGCATAGGTCGTATACAGAAAGTGATGGTTTACAAAAATGCAGGATGTGGGGATGAAAACCTTGTTTACGATGTTGAAATAAGTACGAGCGAAAAAAGTGAATGCAGGCAGAACGGTGTGAAATAGAGAATAGGAAAGAATAAAGAAGAATCAGGTCTTTGTTCATTTCAAAGACGACATGCTAAGAATCTGTTTTCTTAATCAAGCGAAGATTTTTGATTGGAGAAGTCCTTTACGGTAGGAAACCCTAAAACGTATGTGAAATCACAAAAATATATGCTCCAGATAAAGGAGAAAGATCTTCAATCGAAGTGGCTTTTCCAGTTGAGATGCATGCATTCTTGATGTGCATTGAACGCTGATTTCACATCTGTCTTCCTTATCTGCAGAGCGCCTTTGAGTGAGGAGTCACGAGCGTTTTTTGAGTCAAAAAACTGAACGCCAGATCAGAATAAAATCGCTGGGACGGACTTTTCAATTCGCAAATTGAATAATGGCGAGCACATCTGTTCCAAGCAGGGAGTTTTGTTTTCATGGAGAGGTATGATGCTCACTAGCGTTCCACTAGAGCTCATAAGAAACTTTCACAAATAATTTCTTTCCAACTACGAGTTCAAATTTCCGCTACAAAAGCTCTCATGACTCCTTGCACAGAGGCGTTCCGCGGATAAGAAAGACAGATTTAGAATCAGAGTTCGATTTTCTCCAGGACGGTACGGTTCTCTTCTGGAAAAGCCACTTCGACCAGGGATCGGTTAGAGTACATGTCGTCGAAAGTGGAAGGGTCCCGCGTGGTGCAGCAGATACTCAGCCTGTGCATGTATAGAATGTGTATTTATTGCAGATGCACGGCGGACGTCCTCCTTTTGGCGACATATGGCCCTCTACCACCAAGAATCCTTTCCCTAGCCTTTTTTGCTTCTGGAGACTCTGGAGAACTTATTACGTCACATGACTTTCCAGATAATTTCACATAATTGTATGTTTTGTAATCCATATATACAGTCCTAATTTGATGTCATATGCTTGTCTCTGCGCTGTAACCAAGCCATTTGTTTATTTTTTGCCTTGCAAATCAAAGCTCGATCCTTTTGAAAGCGAGAGGAAGACTACGCATAATTTTGCACGAGATCGCATCCCTTCAAAGCAAATTCTTCTTCCGAGTTTTCAAAATCTGCTCTAAGTCACCTTCAATTTCGAACTCTGCTATTCGTGCTTCAGGGGATTGGTGAAAATACTTAGTAATCTCCATCGCTTGACTTTGGAGCTGGATTGCGATCGGAATAGTAGCTGTAAAAAAGAAGAGTAGAAGGCGAAGTTATTGGTATTAGTAGACTTCCACGGATCACATTTATATATATAAGCGAAATTACGGGAGCGAAGAGATTTACGTTCATTCGAAAACAAAAATAGACTTGCCTGCAAAAGCAGTTGTCAAATACTAAAGCTTCATATAAATATTTTATAGCCAATAACATTCTGTGAATAAACATAATCGATGAGTCGAAAGTTAGATAAAAAGAGTAAAGCAAGAGCTAGCAGAGCTTTATACACGATTAACCCCGCAAATCAGCAATTGTAAAGCTTTCAGAATCTGAAAAAGGCCATAAATGCGCGTGCAAAAGCGAAGCAAAAAATCGGCTTTTACTCAATTGATCAAAAACTCTCTTAGGAATTCGGCTTCTTTTGCCACTTCTTATAAGGTAGCAGCACCATGTCAAAGAAAGAGGTTTGAAAAAAGCATTGCAAGATCTTTGCAATCCTGGTTCTTCTGGGGTGGAGAACCATATGTCGCCGAATGGGAGGGTCCCGCGCGGACTTCTTGCAAAGACGCACCTTCGTGCATGGTATTGGTGCGTATTTGTTGCAAATGACCGCCCCATTTCGGCGGCATATGGTCCTCTACCCGCTCTTATGGGGGAACGGAACTTACATACACCAAAAGGCTTGCCGCCGCATATTTAGCGGAGTTCATGAGAGGTCATGAACTGGCAGCAACACTAATTTGCAGGCAAATTAGGACCAAAGACGAGCTGATTCTGCACACGGTAACTTCGTCACCATCCTACAGTTTATGATTCGGGATTTTGTTAAAATTTCAAATCCAAATTCTAGTCCAATTAGGCTAAAAACTTGTATTCAAGGGTATTTAGTCATACTGTTTCCCAATATGATGGTGGTTCCGCTTGAAACCTGAAATTTTTTTTCCTTTTTGAATCCTAAACTTGTTTTCATAAATTTTCCGGCAAAAATTCAGAATTGCAATTTGAGGTTCTGACATGCTATTTCCGAATATGATGTTGGTTTCGCCTGAAAAGTTGAAATTTTCCTTTTGAATTTTGATTTTTTTGTAAGTTTCACTGCAAATTTGCTAAAACTAAACACGGAAAAAAATCAGCTACGTCCAGGAAGGTAAAAGCATGTCAGAAAACAACATCGTTTTTGTAATTGTTACTGGAAAATTTGTGAAAACAAGTTTGAAATAAAGAAATTGCAATTTCAAACGAAATTACCATCGTATTTGGAAACAGCATGTCAGAAAACCCTTATAATGCAATCTTGAATTGTTGTCGGAAAATTCATGAAAACAAGTTTGAAATTCAAAAAGAAAAAATTTCAAGGTATCAAGCGGAACCACCATCATAGTCGAAAACAGCATGACAAAATACCCCTAAATACGAATTTTTATCTCAACTAGACTAAATTCACTGCTGAACTTTAAATTTGAAATTTTGATAAAATCCCGGTTTCATAAAATGTAGGATGGTGACGGAGTTACCGTGTGCAAAATCAGCTCGTCTGCGGTGGAATTGCCTGCAAATTAGTGCCAGTTCATGACCTCTCATGAACTCCGCTAACTAGGCGGCGGCAACCTTGTGGTGTATGTAAGTTCCCTCACCCGCTCTTATGCGGTGGCGTTATCCATTAGGCCTATCTATGTGATAGCTAAAAGCTTGCCCAATCTATAGAGATTATCAAAAAAGTTAATTTTGAAAGAAATATGTTAATATGTTAATTATGAAAAATGTAAATTATGTGTGTAAATGTAAATTATGTATGTTAATTATGTTAAATATGTTAATATGTTATGTTAATTTGAACTTGGAAATTGGAAACGGACAGAAATTATGCAGCAGCCTGATAATTTCGTCTGATTGGCTGCATTGGCAGACTCCGCGTGCCCTCGATATCTTTCAAAGACCTCTGACATTATTTCCTTGACCGCTCTTGGATAAACACCAGTTTCAAGAAACAGGTGCACCAGCCTATTATTTTCTTCGAACCGCTGGTGGTAACGTCAATCAACACTATAGTGCGGTCGGAAGGCGAGTTCCTACAAGGACTACATGGCATCACAATAAAAATGCAAAACCCAGCAACTCACAAATTAGCACTTTCTTCCTATTCACAGTGCGTGTAAAATGAACACGTTTTCTGGCTGACAGTGATATGGGGGTGTAGAGTTATTGCAAGTTTGGTCCCTATTGAGAAGTGCAAACGTGTGCACGCCCTATATCACTTTGAGTTCCGAAAACTCAGATTCTGTTGGAAATTTTTGCCAAAAATGATACTGATCGGCTTGGTCTTAATAGTGAGGCAACTCCTTTTTTATTTTAATGATGCTGACATCTTATTTAAGTTTTTCATACCATCTTCTTGTAATTCAAATACCAAGTTTGCGACGGATGCCTTCAATAAAGAAGCAAATCGCATAGCGCGAGATGCACTTAGAATTCTTTTCAAAGTGAAGGTGGTAAGTTTCAGACAACCTCCAGTTAGTTCTTTACTTCATATTTTACGAAGCGAAAAATCATGAGCGTCTTTTCAGTGCTTTCAAAGAACGTATGTACCGCTGGTGAAAAATTTTATGCAGCACGTTGTCCTGGAGAAAAGTGAAGGTATAAGCGTAAGTGAAGCCAAAAAGAGAGTAGTACTCTGGAAGCACTTTACAAGGTGATTTTTCTGATCTTAAATTGCTCTTGTGTAAAAGGAGCTTGCAGGCACGCTTATTATTCTACTGCCATTATTGTACTTCTCGGAAAATTCGGCGTACAACTTGAGGTAAGCCTGCCGACTGCTACGTTGTAAAAGAGTTATGTGATTTACAACAAAATATTAGTACAACAGCATGTCGACCCGTCGTAAAAATCATTATTCAGTACTTAAAGACTGTTCAAAACTCAAAACAACCCAAGATACCCTGCCACGGTGTATCCACTCTGGTAAGACGACTATTCATAGTGGTGAGAATGTGAAGGCTTGATTACCTTTGATGAATGTTAGAGATTTACTGCAAAGTGAATAGATGAACTTCTGAATATAAGCATTGTTGTTTTTTCCTCCAGGTGACGGCTTACCCTTTTCTCAGTTTTCACCGGACACCTTACCTAAAGAGCACTAATTGCCTTGGAAACGTTGCATAGTCCAAGAGTTTGGAGAGCTTTGACAGCAAATACAGACGTATGTCTAATACCAATTCTGGAAACACAGAATCCAAAACTAAGCGATTTGCGCTCATTTTATCAAGAAACAAAGTTAACAGCGGA